AATAAAAACAATTGTGGATTAAAAAAACCCCATTTCAATCTTTTTTTAAGTTTTTAATTTTTGCTGATGTGTTTTGCGGAAAATTGTTATTGGTCATAATTTATACCTTCTCTGAGTTCACAAAATGTTTTGAAACTTTGTTCTGAAATGATGTGTGTTACAGTACTGTTCTGTAACCACTTTTGCATTCAGTGTTGAATTTCACTTTGCCTCCCTGCTCTAACATGTTTCCAATCGTCACAATAAAAAAAGAGAAAACTACACGTTTAAGCAAAAATAATAAAAAAGAAAAACAAAGTGAAAGTATCACATTTTGTCTGAGCAAAACAATGCATTTATGCCTTTCAAATACGATGTCCCATGACTAACATGTTAGTACCTTGTTCATCTGCTTAAAGTAACAGAGATGTGTGGGAGGCTGCCTGAGGAATGAAGAGGTGAAGCCAGCAAAAATAAAAAGCTTCTAGTTGTAACAGGGTTTTGTGTCAGTCAGGACAACAGCGTTCAAATCTCAGTTTTTTTATTGGCATTATTATTAATGCAGAAATTGCTTTCATTAAATCTCCATGTGTTTTGCCCCCACCCCCCCAATAATGAAACTTTTATACCCTTGCATGTTTTTAAATTTCACAAGCTTTTGTGTTTTACAGTAAATACCTGTTTTTAATGTTCATTTCCACAATGTTTTTTTTTTTTCACGTCAGCGATCCCAAAATGAGGGCAGGAGGATAATCTTTCAGTTTAAAGTGAAACACAAAGAGAAGCATGGCTCCTGTCAACACAACAAGTTACTTATAAAACATCATGCTTTTATAGTTTCTTTGTGAATGAAACAATATTTTTCTTTGCTGTTTTTTTCAAACTCCCACATGTGATAATACACATTTATCTCACGTTTATTCCCTTAACAATGTTTCAGACTCTGGCTGTCAAATATATGAGTATAAATACTGTACGTACATTTATGTAAATACATATTAAAGTGATTTATAGCCCAGCTAATGTACATATATTAATGGGAAATTGTATACTTTAACTATTATGACATGAAGCAGCAAAAATAACTGTGTACATCTGAGGACAGTCATTCATTTCTGTTCCTCCACCATATCACAGATTTAATAATCCTCCATGTCTCAAATTAATACATCTGACAACTCATTGAGACTGTTGTGACAGTTATGTCACTGAAAAGTTTCAACCCATTTAAGGTTGGCGGTAAATAAAAAAAAAAGATTTAAAATTAAATGTTTGTGTAAGAACTGCTGAATATTTTTTCCACAGATGTCTTTCTTTATAAAAGCAGAATATGATTTAGTTAGATCTCGTTTCATTAAAGTGTCTCTTGTTACATCTGAGCTGCTCGTTAACTTGGTCACACGCACGGTGTTTGATAGTGGTCGCCTTTGAACGGCAGCGACAGGGGTTCGTCTGGCATCTAATCTTGTCAAAAGAGCCGATGGCCGTCCATTCTGTCCGCTAATGAGATTACACATGCACTGCGAGTCCCACCACAGGTCATCAGCGCCGAAGCCATTTAAAGGCAATTATTGTTTCAAATGATCCTCTCGTCGCCATCTCAGAGCGACTGCGTGCGGCTCGGTGAGGGAAGGCGCTTTGAGGCAGACTGAAAGCTTCATGTTTCCTCTGCAGTTGGAGCTTAAATGTTTTCACACTCCTACCGTTTCCTCAGGCAGTCGAGGTTACATGTTCAGTGTGTGGTTGAGTACTTTTTGTTGGTTGAGATGCTTGTAAAATTCTCAGCAGTTCACAAGACTCCCAATTACAGAGGCTGTTGATGTCCTGCATAAATTAGGACTTTTGAAATACTTCGGACTTCAAGTTGTTCTGAATCAAAAGCATTTTGATACCGTTTTGATTTTAGACCAAAAGCTCCATATTTACAGCTATTTTCTCCCTCACTTCTACCGTGTTTGCGCGTTTGGTGTGTGAATTATCCGAGGCTGTGTTTTAGTGGATCAGTGGGAAGTGGCAGTCCACTGGGATTGCCCTGCCTCTTTGTTCTCCCGCTGACAACGAAGGACTCACAGTCAGTCTAAAGGGAGAAATTATGTCCCAAAGCAGTCTGAGAGAAAAAGAGATCCACACACTCCACTTCTCACATGCTGCTCATATGGGGCTTGACCTCAATAAGAGCTGCTGTTGTATTTGCAATGCCCTCAACACCACATGCCTACTACTTTTAAAAGCTGTAACAAGCTGGGCCTATAAAGTTCAAATGAAATATTGGTTTGGTGGGATTGGACTGATTATCCCGTTTGGGGTTCATGTTTCTGACTGAGCAGTTTAAAGAATTTCATTGTTTCAAGGTTTTTTATTGGATATTAAGGACATTGTTTTATCTTTATAAGTTAAATAACACAATGGAATTAAATAAACTTTCTTTTCAGTTAAATAATGGACAGTTTTTACATGATTCAAAACCATTGTGTAAATATGTAAAACCTTTGCGATCATATCTTTTTTTCTGTTCCAACAGGTAAGGAGGAGCCGACCACCTACACCTGTACTACCTGTAAGCAGTCTTATGGCAGTGCCTGGTTCCTGCTGCAGCACGCTCAGAATACCCATGGATTTCGTATTTACTTGGAAAGTGAGCACGGCAGTCCTCTCACCCCACGCATGGGTGGGCCTTCATCCCTTGGTGGGGGCGCTGACTGCCCCTCGCAGCCTCCCCTTCATGGCCTTCATTTGCCTCCCGACGCCAGCCCCTTCAACCTCCTCCGCATCCCCGGCTCGGGCTCAGGTGGACGGGACAGCGTTGGAGCAGGAGGTGTCATTGGCGCCAGTGGTCCTGTTGCTGTGGGCCATCATCAGCGTTTTCCTCCCACACCACCCCTCTTCAGCTCCCCTCCGAGGAACCACCTGGACCCCCACCACCTGAGCCCAGAGGAGCTGGCGCTGGCAGCCCACCACCCGAGTGCCTTTGACAGGGTGCTGCGCCTCAATCCTCCTCTGCCTCTAGACCCCCCTCCGACAATGGACTTCTCTAGACGGCTACGAGAACTGGCGGGCAACACCTCAGGGTCCACTCCCCCGCTTTCCCCCAGCCGACCCAGTCCCATGCAGCGTTTACTCCAGCCCTTTCAGACAGGAGGAAACGGAAGCACGGGAGGAGTGGGAGGCAGCAAACCTCCATATCTCGCCACTCCCCCACCTCTTCCTGGCTCCATGCAGTCACCTGTCGGCTCTCAGACCACCCCTACGACCCCACTCCCCTCGGCCGGGGCAACACCTTCCTCTACCACTCAGTTGAAATCAAAGTGTTGTGAGTTTTGTGGCAAAGCCTTCAAGTTCCAGAGTAATTTAATAGTGCACAGGCGCAGCCACACAGGAGAAAAGCCGTACAAATGCCACTTGTGTGATCATGCTTGCACACAGGCTAGCAAACTGAAACGCCACATGAAGACACACATGCACAAATCCTCTTCACCAAATACAGGCAAGTCAGAAGATGGCTTATCAATAGCTTCATCCCCAGAGCCTGGCACCAGTGAGCATATAGGCAGTGCAAGCAATGCGCTGAAATCAGTAGTGGCCAAACTGAAAAGTGAGAATAACCGCATGTTACGTGAAAATGGGGAAGAAGAGGAAGAAGAAGAGGAGGAGGAGGAAGAAGAGGAGGAGGAAGAAGAAGAGGAAGAGGAGGAGGAAGAGGAAGTAGAGGAGGAGGAAGTGCAGAACGGAGAGAGAGCAGTCAAAAGAAACAATAGTTATCACTTTGGACTAAATCTGGAAACAGCACGGCAGCATGAAAACAGTGGAGGCATTGGGAGTCGACTGGGCGGAGTGGCTGATGATGCTTCCATCCCTCGTTCCCTCCCTGAGGTGATGCAGGGGATGGGTCTGGCCGCCAGCATGCAGCACTTCAGTGAAGCTCTCAACGCACATAAACGAAACGCAATGGCCCAAGAGAACCATCTCCATCACCACCTCAACAGAGACCACCATCACAGCCGTGAAATGTGTGATGGAGACTCTGTGCTGGAAACAGATCGTGGAGAGGAAAGCTCTGTTTCAGTCGTCAACGGGCGAGGAGCATCTCCTAATGAGTCTGCTTCTGTTGGCCTCTCCAAGAAACTGCTTCTGGGTAGCCCCAGTCCACTCAGTCCTTTCTCTAAACGCATTAAACTAGAAAAAGAGTTTGACCTGCCCACCCCCACAATCCCTAATACAGAGAATGTGTACTCCCAGTGGCTGGCTGGCTATGCTGCCTCTCGACAACTCAAGGACCCTTTTCTGAACTTTGGGGATTCCAGACAATCGCCCTTTGCATCATCGTCCGAGCACTCCTCAGAGAACGGCAGTCTGCGTTTCTCGACCCCTCCGGGAGAGCTCGACGGTGGGATGTCAGGTCGCAGCGGGACAGGCAGCGGGGGCAGCACGCCCCACCTCGGTGGTCCGGGGCGGCCGAGCTCCAAGGACGGACGCAGGAGCGATACTTGCGAGTATTGTGGCAAGGTTTTTAAGAACTGCAGTAACCTGACAGTGCACCGGCGCAGCCACACGGGAGAGAGACCGTACAAGTGTGATCTGTGCAATTACGCATGTGCCCAGAGCTCCAAACTTACTCGCCACATGAAGACCCACGGTCAGGTGGGCAAAGACGTGTATAAGTGTGAGATTTGTAAGATGCCCTTCAGTGTTTACAGCACCTTGGAGAAACACATGAAAAAATGGCACAGTGACCGTCCTTTGAGTACCGAAATAAAGTCCGAATAGAAGACAGAACAATGGGACCTTTTTCCCGCAGCTGTGTCCACCATCGGTTTCCTGCTCATTCCCAGCCCCCTTGTAGATTTGCTCCAATCCCAACACTCCACTTTCACCAGTCCGGTGGAACCTTAAGACCATGTGCTCTGCACCAGCACACCCCGTTTCCATTACCCATCGAATGCATGATCTGTATCGGGGCAATACTCTTGCATTGACGCAAAACTTTGAGCCTTTCTCTTGTGCAATAATTTACACGTTGTGTACTATTTTCTTTTTATTTTTGAATTTTCTTTTGCCATTTTAAAGGATTAGTCAGCATGCATAGTATGTTTTTGCTAATCAAAAAAAGGAAAAAAATTCAGAAAAGAACTTGTCTCTGGTTGGTTAGTTGTTGAGTAAATGTGTTGCTGTTTTCTTCTTGTTATTTTTTCTTTTTATTCTTCAAAAAGAAAAAGAAAAGAAAAATATATCCATGCTGCATACATTCTGTAACACATATCATGTACAGTTTTGTTTTGTAACATGGAAAGTGAACAGTCACTTGACCCTCTTCATACAACCCTGAAAATGCACTTATCCTGATCTTTTTGAAAGATGCCACGTTCACACAGGGTTTTGAAAACAAAACAAAAAAATGGATTGGCTTGAGAACTAAACTGAAAGTGATGAGAGCCTTCAAATTTCTTTCAAAAAGACAAAGTGGGAATAAGAAGTCGATTTGTACTCTCATTTGGTGGAATAAGAAAGAGTGCCTTTGATATCCTAAGACCGCATTGGCCACAGTCTTCTCCATTCAAGTTTGGGGTCCTAAAAACATTTAAGCCAACCAGGAAAGGTCCTTGCATCAAGCACCTGCCTGCTCAAATGGACTGTGACCACTCATGGTGAAAAATTAGAATCATCATTTAGCTACCTATTATATGTTCAATATGTGGAATTTCGAGGCACACGGTACAAGCAGTATTGTGTATATCTGAATTATTTGTAGTTTTGTTTCCGGTAGGAAGGTACTTTTTAAATAAAAAGTAATCTGTTACGTACAATCCTGAACTTGAGGGATGCGGCACATTGCTGACAAGTGTCATGTATCTGCATTAGCACAAACCTACAGCGCTGCTCCAGAATGTCAGTGTGTGGAATAATGCATAAATTAATATATGAGCTCAAAGTGAAGCTAACTTTAGTTGAGAGCATTGAACTAATTACAAGCTAGACAGACAGAAAGCTACACAGACCTGTATGTGTTACTGGGATCAGAGGCAATGGTATTCTCGTAACATTTCGAGTATTTAAACAAGGTCATCAGTTCAGACTGGTAGAGAAAATTCAAACTATATTCCAGGGCTCTTGAGAAAAGTTTCATGATAATTAGTATGTACAGGCTAATGCAGGGCAGTTTTTATTTGTTTGCTGTTGATTTTGAACCCAAAAGGAGCAAGTTTGTTTCATTGGTTTAATTTAAGCTACTCATTTGGTGTGTTCCACTTGTACTTGGAAGTCAAGATTTTAGAGCTCCAGGTAGAAAAAAAACAAAACAAAAACTGAATGCTCCTAAAGTCACAATTTTGATTCGTAAAGTGGGAGGTCCCTGACAAAGTTTGACCTCAAAATCAAATATGGCTGCCGAGCACACCCAAAGTTGTGATAGTGATAAACCTTTCATTTACACTTCTCTCAACTTGAATGCCATTGATAAAAGTTGCAAACATTAATTCACAATCTATTGGAAAGATGTTGCTGCAATATATAAATGCATAGAATGCAGAGAAATATATCTTTGGCTTGTGTGGCCAATAATAGGTACAACTAAAAAATCCTGGTTACTGAACGTGAGCACAGCTAAGGAGTGACGTCATCTGACTTCTGAGATAAATGGAACGCAGCAATCGTAAAGCTCTTGTCACAAAGTACCATCATTAGTCTTGGGTTGTTCCACACTGATGCAGATTTGGTACATGGGCTGAGTCTAAAAGCTGTATTTGTTCAACATGAAGTGCTTTGTTTCACCCTGTTTACGCTGAAGGGGAAAACCTTTATCTAATGCTGTCACATGCCGAGGGTCCCATTGTTACGAACAGTCAAAGATGACGCACAGAATCTGTTGCTAGCAACTTCAGCCTCATGACCCTTGACCTTTGTAGACCTGCCATTTCACCTTTGATCATTTGTATGTTTGTGAACCCTGAAAATCCCAGCCATGAGCTGTGGATAATCACTGTTCCTGGTAAATAAAAAAGAAAAAAAAAAACATTTGCAAGTTACAAAAGTGCTCCTGCATGGGAGTCAACTGAATGCACTCTTACTGAGTTTAGTAAAAAAAAATACACTTTTTTAAAGCAGCTGTGCTTTTCATCACTGAAAAAAAAACTGATAAAAAATAATTAAAAGACACAGCTGAATTATTTATGAACCGTGTTGCTTTAACAACAGACACTCAAATCTTGTCTCTCCCAGAATCTGCTTTTTGTATAAATCATTCTTTAATCACAAAAATCAAACATTTTTTGGGGAAAAAAAAGTCTTCTATATTTTAGGGGAAAATGTTTTTTACGTTTTCTTGTTGTTTTCCCTCAGCGTCTTGGTGGTGTTCAAGACTCTAATCACAGTGTAAATGAAAAAAAAATGTACAAAAATTTTTAAATGTGTTTTTAATTTAATTTAATTTAATTATTTTTCTGTTGCTATTTTATTTCGTTTTGCCTTGGCTCTTCACAGCTCTTCAGGTTGAGATCCAAATTGCATCGGGGGGAAAGGATTAAAATTATATATGAATATATGATATAGAAGTTAAAATCTAGGACAATGCACACTCCTGTCAGTTCCTATACTTACACACATTTATGGTCTACTTTTTCTGTATTTCTAGAATTGTATTTGAATTCAATGTTCACTTAGATTAGGCACTATAGTATTTATATTGAGGCTCGTATTTTTAACTGTTGCTTGTTCTCTCTGAAGGTATTTACCATACCTTTTTGGTAGTGGAAAAAAAAATTCTGCTGCCACGATATATTTTTTTAATTTGGCAGGATAATATAGTGTGAATTATTTGTACGTTTAAAGACATTAAAAAAATTCCAATAAAGCAGCTAAATAAGTGGGGCTGGGATGCAATGCAGGCCATCAGATGGCTGCTGCTTAGGTTCTGGTCCACAGAGGTGGTTGTACATATCTTGTTTGGGTTTTGGGTCCCTTACTCCGCTGCCATCTTTGTATGCAGTAAAGAAAGCTGATGTTGGCCTGTTCTGTTGTGTGCTTCTGTCTCTTTCTCACCTCTCCCACCTGACGACATTCCAACATCGAGAAGAGGAAAAAAAAAAAACAACATATGCAGTACATGGATTACATTTAAAAACGTTAAAAACATTTAAAAATGAATGAAAATGTTTTGTTTTTTTTCATTGCCAAATACTAAATGGTGCTTTATATTTAGATTGGGTGAATATACTTTGATATGCAAAGCATATTTAAAAATGACCAGGGAGATGTGGAGAAGCCTGCTTGAGTTAAGACTTTTTTGTAAATGGCAATGCGGAATATTTTGTTATCAGCCTTTTCTATTCCTGTTCTGAGAGCTGTTTGTTGTAACTTGAACTTGAACTTTATCTTTTACAATGGGAGTTACTATTTATTATCACTTAAATGCTCTGTTCAAAACAGAGACATGAAATGGAGTCTTATTTTGGGTTCATTTTTTATTTTTGGTTATGATATAATTTTATTATTAATATTATGTTCTTTTTTTGTAATGGTGGCCGACGGTCATTGGACAAAACAAGCTCTTTAATTTTTATTGTACTTGTTTGGGGTCTCTGTTTAGTTGTAATGGGAATACCACTGTCCGTGTTTTCTGGCAGATGTCTGCATAATCCTGTTCACACACCCATTTTGTCCCTTTATTGAAAAACAATTAATAAAAAAATGAAAGTATAATGAAACTACTGTGTGTTTTATCTCATCTCATGCATGAATATGTGATTGTCCAATTATCTTCACCTTGCAATTCAGTGCGACTTTTAGTCTACATTTTTTACATAACTTTTTCGGCGAACTTTAAATGGATTATGGTTTAATTATTGCTTTTTGTAACGCGGTGTGTGCAACATGTGTAGTATGCTTGGAGAACTGGTTGATCTGTTCAACAGAATGTACGTGCAGGTTTTTTTTCCTGCAGAGATCCACACACTCCACTTCTCACATACTATTCCTACGGGGCTTGACCTCAAGGTGTCAAAGAAAAGGTAAAAAAAAATGGCACAAGTTACAAAAGCTATACACAAGTTTCCTGACGCATCTCAGTAATCCAGGTAAAAAATCAAAAAGGAAAAAAATTGTATAGGTCTTCTGGACGGGTTCTTCTCTAATGAAACGTTTCGTCTCTTCTCCAAGAGACTTCTTCAGTCTGAGAGTTTCAGGCAGAATTCAGGCTTTTAAGTCCTGCCTCCATGTGACTGATACTCACATCGCATGGCTATCGTTGACACCTTTTTTTTTATACACAAGTTAATGAAAGACTGCATCTATTAGTGAGTTTAGGTTATAAAGATAAGAGTTGCACATTCAAGCACATTTGTAATAAAGTAAAACATACAATCAACCTACAGTGCAAAGCATTGCATTGTAGAGATAATATGTGTGTATTTGTTTCTTTTTTAGGACAGTTTCTGCTATACCTTGTCAGGGTAAAGGATCAGGGTTAGGCTATAGAAATGACTGGAAACTAAGGTAAGTCAATGAATGGTCCTGATAAGGATAGAAATACAATCTTTCTGTATATATGATCTGCGTGTGTTTGTGTGTTACTGATGTTCATGTTGACCTGTCCACATAAACAGTCACCGATGACTCCACTTTGAACCCATTGAACACTACGTCCAACTTTGTCTCAGCCTTTGTCCTTGTACTGGTTGAACTTTGTTACTGTGTGTGTGTGTGTGTGTGTGTGTGTGTGTGTGTGTGTGTGTGTGTGTGTGTGTGTGTGTGTG